AAGGCCTGGTGCTGCCCAGATGTTCTCCCTCCCCGGGGAGGGAATGGCCTTTTCCCTGGGGCCCTGGATGAGGGTGAGCCCTGATGGAATGTGGTGTGGAGCTGATGGGGGGGGCAGCGTGTGTAGGCTGCAAGCACAGCTGTGGGGCACCCAGCAGTGCTGCCAGATGTGGGTGCGAGGCCCGGTGCTGCCCAGATGTTCTCCCTCCCCGGGGAGGGAATGGCCTTTTCCCTGGGGCCCCGGATGAGGGTGAGCCCTGATGGAATGTGGTGTGGAGCTGATGGGGGGGGCAGCGTGTGTAGGCTGCAAGCACAGCTCCCTGCCCCCCTCCCAACCCCCACAGCTCCAGACCCCCATGCCACCCCCTCAATTCACTGACACCCCCCCAGCCCAGTCCATCATGGCCCCTAATCCCACCCTAGCCCCCACAGCTCCTTGACCATCATTGCAACCCCCCCATAAATCCTGCTCCTCGAGTCCCTCTTCCTATTTCCACCCCCCCAGCCTCCAGTTCCATCCCAGCCCCCCTGGTTCTCTCACCCCACTCAGTGCCCCTTCTCTGTGCTCCGGCCGGGCCACCCATGCTGCCCAAACCCTGCCCTGACCCTTCTGCCACATCCATGTGGTGACGTGAAGATGACATGGAGCCATAACTCCTACATCCCCACCACAGGGGGTCCCGTGGGGCACAGCCCAGCCATGGCATGGGGCTATGCCCAGGGGCACCCCTTCCTGGCAAGGCTCACAGGACACCATCACACCAGGATGTCAGGGGACCCACCAGCACAAAGCTCCTGGAGAAGCTACACATGGGTGGCCTCTCTGCTCCCCCAGACCCAACCCAATCAGGGGGTCCCAGTACCGTGTGTCCCAGCACTATGGACCCATCCCAGGAGCAAGGCATCGCACCCCACTCTTGAGGATTTCGGGGTCACCAGCAGCACTGTTTCCCCCCCACAGGGTGCCAGCCCAGCCCAGCCAAGCTCCTCAGCCTCAGGTAGCCCCCAGGCCTGGCGGCAGCACGAGGGGCTGCGGAGGGTGAAGAGGGCCTGGGTGATCCCCCCCATCAGCGTCTCGGAGAACCACAAGCGCATCCCCCACCTCCTGGTGCAGGTAGGTGGGGACCCCCCCACACCCTCTCTTCCAGGAGGCAGGGTGGGGGGCACCCTGAGCAGAGGGATTGCACAGGGACACCCCAGGAGCGGGATATGGCATGAGGGGAGACTGAGGACAGAGGGGGACCTCAGACAGGGGACAGACCCCCCAGCTCCAGGACCACCAGCCCTGCTTTCCCTTGGGGCAGATCAAGTCGGACAAGCAGCAGCCCGGGGGGGTGATCTACAGCATCAAGGGGCCAGGGGTGGACGAGGAGCCCCTGGGCATCTTCTCCATCGACAAGTTCAGTGGGAAGGTCTTCCTCAACGCCATGCTGGACCGGGAGGAGAACGACCGATACCGGGTAAGGATGTTGCCCAGTCACCCACAGGCCCCCCCCCTCACACCCCCCCAACATTGGGGTGCTGACCCACCCTCACTGCGCCCACAGCTGAAAGCCTTCGCGCTGGACCTGGGCGGCATGACGCTGGAGGACCCCACTGACCTGGAGATCATCGTGGTGGACCAGAACGACAACCGGCCGCTCTTCCGGCAGGACGTCTTCACGGGGCACGTGGTGGAAGGGGCTGAGCCAGGTGGGTCCAGCTGGGGGGGCCACAGCTGGGGGGGGCTGAGCCAGCCTCCACGCTGGCACCCACCGGGGTGCTCCTGTGACCGCAGGAACCTGCATAATGACGGCGGATGCCACGGATGCCGATGACCCCGACACGGACAACGCGGCGCTGCGGTACTCCATCCTGGAGCAGGGCGCTGCCGGCATGTTCAGCATCAATGCCACCACCGGCGAGATCTGCACCGCACGGCCCGGCCTTGACCGCGAGGTAGCGGGCATGGGGGGCACGGGTGGCACCGGGGCAGCACCAGGACTGGGGCAACCAGAGCTGGTTGAAACCACAGTGGTGAAACTGGTGAAACCAGTTGGTGAAACCACAGGTGGTGAAACCACAGCTCCAGCCATAGGCAGACCCAGGCGTGGGGACAGGGTGGCCAGCATCTGGGGGACCTCTGGGGTTCCCTGGGGGATGCTGGTGGGAAACAGCACCCCACACACACCCCCTCTGCTCCCCCGTTCCTTTCTTGCAGACCGTGGGGGTGTACAACCTGACGGTACAGGCAGCTGACATGTCCGGGGATGGGCTCACCACCACCGCCACGGCCGTCATCTACTTGGAGGACATCAACGACAACCCTCCTGAGTTCACCAAGGAGGAGGTAGCAGCTGGGGTGGGATGGGGGAATGTGTGGGGGTCAGTGGGTGGGAGCAGACACCAACCCCACGTCCCTCTCCCCCAGTTCTCCATGGAGGTGGAGGAGCAGGCGGCTGGCGTGGACGTGGGCAAGGTCTTCGTGCACGACAAGGACCTGGCTGGCTCACCCAACTGGTTGGCCAAATTCACCATCCTGGAGGGCGATCCTGAGGGCGCCTTCACCATCCGCACGGACCCCTACACCAACGACGGGGTGCTCTCTGTGGCCAAGGTGGGCACGGGGCAGCCAGGGGACCATGGGGGTGTCCCATGGCTTGACTGACCTGTGGACCCTCTCGGCAGCCACTTGACCACGAGGTGCGGGACCGCTTTGAGCTGACGGTGTCGGTGCAGAACGAGCAGCCGCTGGAGCCCACGGCCCCCACCAGCCCCCGGGCACTGGCCACCGTGCGGGTGCGGGTGCGGGACGTGAACGAGGCGCCCATCTTCCGTGAGAACCCCCGGCGGGTCAGCGTGCTGGAGGGGGCCCCCCCGGGCACCTCCATCACCACCTACACCGCCAGCGACCCCGACACCCACCAGCTCCAGACCCTCAGGTGAGTCCCAGGCACCTAGTCTCCTTCCATCACCTCCCGGCACCCACCACGTTCGAGCTCCCAGCCCACGGTGGGTGTTTTGGGGTGGGGGGGGGTGACATTGTGTTCCCCCACCCCCCACACCCACAGCTACGCACTGCTCTACGACCCGGCGGACTGGCTGCAGCTGGACCCCCACGCCGGCACTGTCCGCACCAAGCGGGAGCTGCTGCACCCCTCTGCCTTCCTGCAGGGCGGCTGGTACATCGCCCTGGTCCTCGCCCGCGATGATGGTGACCCCCCCATCCCCACCCCCCACC